AGATTTTGAAAATGTAGACATTTGGTGGGAATCTCGAACTATGCCAACTCGACAATGGGAGATGATGGACATGGTTTCGCTCACCGGTTTATCGATGCGCAAACCAACGTCCAACAAGGGGAAATGTTTCGAAACACTGCCAATCATCGTTAGGGAAAACTTGTGGCCTTGGCTTAATAAACGGATGGACAAGATAATTGCAGCAATAAGTTACCAGCGTATAATTAGAATGTACAAATGCGTAGATTCTCACTTCTACCAGGGGGGCCGTTCTGCTGCGCGGGGGGGGGATTGAGATGCTGGTCTACAATGTGAACCCTCCCTTTGAATGAATAACCTACTCCAGATCGTAATCCATTCGAACGGATTAGTAGCACGCAGTTGGAGCGCCCCTCCCCCGTTCGTCTCTTGTGAAGCATCGTCGGCGGATGCAATTAAATTATCGGGCTCTGCCATGGGGAATAGATAGATACTCCGAAGTACACGTGTACTGGTACTGTACCTCTTCAACTTGGCTGGGAACCATCCACACTGCACACACACATGTCCTTGACATTGCGTTGGCTTTGGACGTAAATATCGATAGGTCGTTACTACAGTACTACTAGTATTAGTTATGAATAGTGTATGATGCTCGATACTCCATGTACCGGCGAAACATCGACATAACCCCCATGTACAGACAGAACATGGAACGAACATCCAGATGATGTTGTAATAAGCTATAACAATTGGGCAAATCATTCGGTAACTTTCCAGGGCCACAAGTTCAACATAACCAGTACTGTAACTCTCAAAGTGTATGGACGGTGTGCCCAAGTAATACTAGTACATTCCGGCTAGCGCAAGGTCGGACAGTACTGTACTACTAGTAGTACTATTAAGACATACTAGTACAGTACTCGTATTGTATTTTTATTCGATACTACTAGTAGTATAGTTCTAGTAGAACGTAACGTTATCTATGAGGTAGTAGTACTTCAAGTACTACTACTAGTATACTAGTAGTAACTATTCAACCATGGAATGTCAAAACAACCAGAATTGTACTGTACTACGTAGTACTACTGTATCGGTTTGAAACTCATTTTGCGTCCATCCTGATTTTGAAATACGATAGGTTCAATTGAAACAGACGTTCACTTCAAATTGCGCTGCTCTGTGAAGGTCCAAAAATCAGATATAGTGTATGTGCTATACAGTATTTAGTGTATGAATCAAGGACTTTGGTGGGTTAATAGTGTGAGTCTAGTTGCACTGGGTGCATACCGGTACGTCGTAATTGACTGTGAATGAGGAATGTACGGTGAAACGAAACACGAGCGGGAAACACTACCGGTTTCCAGCAGTAAAGCTGAACCAGTATTGTACTAACGTTACTAGTACTTCTACTAGCAGTACTGAACATGCGATTTTAGGGTAACAAATAAAGAACGTTAAAGTTACGAATCAATTTTGTACTTCATGAAAACTGTATAAACCCGAATGGACGGATATTGCTGTAACGTTGCAGGTACCGGTACAGTAGGAGTAATCAAGCTGTGGAGCTGTGATGAAGTGGAAATGCAATTTGGTTTCTTTCGCAGGGGGATGGGGGAAAAACTAACAAAACACAATTATGTGACTCCACTCATTCACATTTACAGTTAAACGTGATTACTAGTCACTTTGGTAAAGATATACTAGTATACAGTACTACGTAGTACTTCGAAGTACGTTTTAACAAGTGAATGGTAACTAAGCTTAGTACAGTACTACGGTAGTACAACTTGAGCTACTGTACTATTACGTAGTAATACTTAATATTGATATTACGCTGTAAAGTTAAGGTAAATGATTGAATTCTCGGACATGATCGAATTCTCGGACATTGGAGTTTTGACCAATCAGTAGGCTCAATTTTTGTGTGAACCAATTCTATTGGATATGATAATATTCACCACTTCTTCTTGACTTCACCACTTTTAACTCCAATAGTATTGCCACAAACAATAAAAATACATGGGAAGTGCCTCTGCAGCATGGTTGAAGACGAAGGAGCACGTGAGAGAGGAAGTATTGACCTTACCCCCGCAGAAGAAGGGAATTAAAGAGCGGAAGCGTGTGTCCACTAACCTGGAATGGTACACTCGGGAAGAACTTCATGCATTTGCAGTCCGTCCAGTCAAGCAGAAGAAGTAATTTTTTTATGCAATTAATATAATTTTGTGTGATATAATGACTTTTGTCCACCATCGGTATTATAATACGTGCATTGTATTTGGGGCGTATATTTTGTAAATTATTTTACTTCAATACAAAATGTAAGGTAATTCTATGTCCGAGAATTAAGGTGCATCGAAATTGTCATCACTAATTTTACTCCATGTATTTATTTTAGTACAAATCGCAATTATCATTGATTGAGTATCTATGAGGCAGTAAAAAAAACTCCAGGAATTGTATTTTCGAGTGGTACTTTCAGATTTTTGAGATGATGTTTAGTTACTGATTTACGTCCAATCAAAGTCGAAAAACAAGTTGTTAGCAAATCGTGTCCGAGAATTCGATCATTTACCTTAAGATCACTCAGTACTGTCTGTACTAATACTTGATTTGCATCTAACAGTCGAAGCAGATGAAGCGTCGTTCTGGAGTGCCTAATTATTAATATTTCAAATATGGCGGAGCTAACTATCATGACATTCAATCATGGCGAGCTTGCATGGCTTTAACGATGCATCTTAAAATAACATACTACAGTGGCAGTATAATAATGCTGATTCGAAAATTGGATTGATTAACACGTGGTTAAGAGCTGCAACGCCTTGACACGAGTTATCAAGTGCAAATACTCACACTCTGCCAAACACAACTGCTTGGTGGATGTCCCACCTCAAAAACTGCATGTTATCGCCGGAGGGTTTCACATTTGAATCCAAGCGACAATGAGTAGTCATTGCCCGACTTGACCCCAAAGCCCCGGTGTTGTGTTTCAAAACAGCTTCGCGTGAGTATCCACGTTGAGAAGTTTTCTAACAAATTGGGTGGATTGAGAGTCTAAGACTTACAAAAACAAGTTAGACAGTTCCATTGGAAAAATAATAATTATCACGAGCATCCCATTCCTAGTCCAACATATACATTGATATCAGTGAAGTTGTTTGCAGGACCACTGTTGAACAGGCCCATTTTGAAATGGTAAATTCCATGAGCGCTTTCATGGACGACCAGCCTATCGTTAGCTCCGTCTCCAATGGGTGGACATCAATGCGAAATGATCACAAGGTGAACTTTGTGGCCGTTTTCCATCTGAATTCAGCCAAATCAATGATTTTGAAAGCCATCGCAACGGACGACAACTTGCAAAGCGGTGTCAACATTGCTGCATGGCTTGACCGTGTAATTTTGGCCATTGGGGTTTCCAAGGTGGTAAGTTGTGACGGACAACGCTACGTGTATGAGAAGTGTCTGAAAAATTCTGGAGCAGAAGAACCCTGGTCTGATCTTAATGTTTTGCTGCTCATGCGTTGAAATTGTTGATCAAAGAAGTGGGCAAGTCGGACGTTTTTTCCAACAGACTGGAGCGGGCCCGTGACATGACTTATTTTATTAGACTGCAACGCACTGACGAAATGATTTGAACGCATCCAGGAAACGCTGTTGGTTAACGGGGAAATTTCCTCCAAACTCGCAGTTATATGCAAAAGAAATGGCCACCCCACCGGCAAGTGTATAAATGCCTGCCAATTCTGCAAGCCTACCCAGAACACAAGTACAAACGCTGCGAAGAGCCGGAGGAGATCATCTTGGTCCGAACATACAAGGCCACTTGCCAAACATGGATCATTTTAACTTGTACGTCCGAGAGTGGTGCCATACTCTACTTGCGCCAAACTCAAGCGGGCAAATACGCAAGATGGCGGTGAAGGACACTGTCCTCTGTGGTGCCTACATGGTAGTACACCCATTTCAAGCGTATTGCCCGTGTCCTGGAAAATTGCAAAGCCCTAGTTTAGCTCACCAACATGACCTTGTTCCACGATATCATGGTCACAACAGGTACTCGGGCGAAGAAGGACGACTTTGTTGGTGCCATCACCGACCTAACGTTTTGGTCGAATTTGCAGTCAATGACAGGGACGTTGCGATCAACTTGTAGCATAATTGGTAAGTTCGAGGGTGACACCTGTTGTTTGTCCGACGTGTATCGCTTGTTTCTCGAGTTGCGGGCGCATTGAAGTACGAGCGACGAGTTAACGGAGATGTTATTGGACTGGTGGGTGGTTGTTCACACGGAGTCCATGGGGTTTGGCTATTTTCTTGATCAAAGTACCCGTACTGGAGAGGGAATGTTCGAGGACGACTGGTATGACAATGCTCATCTACTACAAGAATTTGTCCTTGTCAAAAAACAAATCAGCTCAAGTGTCGACGCTGTCCGAAGAGAGTTGGCGAATTTTGTCGATGTGATGAAGAATCCGTCGACCAAAGCAAAGTTCTCCATCGAACAATGCGCCAAGCCCATGAGGGTATTGATAATAAGTTGGGTCAACCAAGTTTCCCATTCTGTGTGCAGTTGCTCGGATTGTGTTCAGCGTTCCAACCCCAGCAGCCTGAGAACGTATTTGGAGCATTTATGACTTCATTCTGACGAAGCGATGGAACCGGTTAAGTCCAGCAAATAAAACAAATAGAAAAAAATTACAACTATATCTATTTTTTCCATCGAAGGTTACCAAGTTGGTACAGCTGTATATGATTGCAGATTTGTCGTCCCGAATCAGTTTGGTCAGTGTTTTGATGGGCCAAGAAAGCGATGCGGGCAAAAGTGACATTAGAGAGTTTTCGGACAGTGGATTTGAGAGAGAATTCGAGGTTGGGATCTCTAACTCAAACATTTTCGGTCAAGAATATACTCAAATTTGAGGTACATTTCGGTTCCTTTCGGACAAAAAGTAAGATAGGTAGATTGAACGGGTACTATACGGATGACGCGTATTGTTCACACAACCAGCAATATGCGAGTCATGCGGTTACCACCAGTGCTTCGGAACCGCGATGTCGTGCCTCTCTTAACTGCACTGCTAGAGCAATGTCATGGTGATTTTGACACGTTCTTGTACACCGTCGAAGTGTTGATTGGCGTTAACGTACTGCGCCCCCTTATCAACAACCTTAACAACTTCGACCGGCGTACGGATGCTGCCACCGCCCACACCAAGTTTCAAATTTCGATCGACCAACTTGCCTGTCTGTGTGTGAAGATGCGACTGCCGGAGTTCATGTGGGCCTTCCCACATGAACTCCGGACCGCCGGCCCAACCAAATGAGCCACCAGCACCACCGTGGCAGGCAGAAAACTTCTTCGCCGAAGCAAATCCATCTATTGTCTATAGCACAGGGTTTTTAATACTTCACCTCCATGTATAGTTTATACTGTTATATTGGCCCAGCAGAAGTCGCTCCCTCCCTGGTGCATGCAGCACAAACAGGAAAGGTTTGTCCGTTTTGACAATAAATTCCACACGACTCAGGAGGTATGGCGCGACTATAAATCGTCGCGACGCATCGACAAATTGGTGGTACGCAACATCCTTTATGTTGGTCGAGAGCTTGCCCAGGAAAACGTCGAAGATGGTTTGATACGCCACGCCCTTGCTTCGAAACGCGATCATCTGTCCCATTAATTGATTTGAAAACGCATGAGCTATATTGTATGTTAAATGTACTTGGATTTTCCAATTGGTTTGGCATGATACCCAATTCGACAAGTTGATCGCCAACCGGGTGAGCGCAGCATTCCCGCAGCGTTAGCTTTTCAACTCCTTCCATGCTGCACACACTGATAAGCACTGGACGCCTCAACCCAGTGCAGCAAACGCCAACTTTGTCAACAGGGGGAAAACGACCGTCAAGTCCTTCCAAAATGTGACCAGTGGCTAGCGTTGTATGAACGCCAAGATGTTGATAGCAGAATATCGAAGGCATGTGCCTCTTTCAACACGTCATGCAGCGGGCTTGTGAAGGGCTCAAGCATCCTTGTACAGACTGTGCCCACCAGATCAAGGCCAAAAAACGTGCCATACACGCCAAGCTCCAAGACAAGCTGATGACAGACACTGAGCCATTCGAGATGGTGATCACCCAGTTGCTCGCGGAGCTGGGGTCGTTGGAGAACCAGCCAGACGGCCGCATAAGTTGTTGCAGCTTTGTAGTATAACTCGCCACATACTTTTGACGACGGGCAAAATGCCTAGTTGTGCGATGCTGAATCTGCATCGATTTCATTGGCGTCGTCTTATCCAAAATAGTCGTTTTGGTCGCGCGATGGTTAATCGCCATCATGTCTACATTTATATTCAGAGTGACGGATTACAACAAGGATTATTAAAGAGCTAAACCTTGTGAATTGTTAAGTACCCGCCTCCGACATTTCACTTGGACTTGCTTCATGTGCATTCGTGTTGGAACGTTCGACCATTGCGTTAAAGTAATTGTCCTCCTTGGACGCTGCAAATGCTACGATGGAAGCAATCTCCTCCTCGTCGGCGCCGGTTAGAACCTCTGGGGGCGGTGTTTGCAAGGTGGCAATTGCGACAACCTTGGTCCTCGTCGTGCCATGGAGTGCTCGTACTGTGAAGGGTCGTTTTGATGCCATTTCGGTATGTACGATTCGTAGGTAGTTACAGGTAGTATCATGTTACACGATCGTCCCATTCTCGTTGTTTATCAGGCAGAGTTTGAAACGATATATTGTTATGTACTTGGTTTAGCCGCATAAAGTAGGGAGTTGGCATATTACTTGGACAGCTTAAAGTGGGAAGCTCTTGTGAACTAGTTTGATCAGTTTTATGTTGAACCACGTGTGGTGGAGTTGGATTGGTCAAGACAAAACCTAGGCTATTATCATTCAAAAGGATCACAAATCAGCATATCACTACACTCGTTACACGACTCATATATGCTGAGCTTAACTTTTGACTGGTGTGACTTCGCCTATCGTCCAAGACCGTCGCCAAGGTGGTGGCAAGCTTACAGTGTACTATACGTTACAGTATTCCGTTAGCAATGTAACACACATCAGTGACTGCCGAAGCACCTATCAATCACAGTGGACCAAGTAGCTTGTCATATCTTCGATTAATTGAGTTTGGATTATCCATTTTAAAGACATTCCTCGCGAGGGCCGACACTAGAACCACATATCTTCGACTTTCGTATGGAAATAGCAATTGTTTTGCCCAATCATAGGTCGGTTATTACATCGGGACTTTTGGATATTGAATTTTATTTTTGGTGCAACTCTCTGCGAACTTCGCCGTCCAGCACTGTACGTCGAAGAATATGTTGATGTCGGCATGCCATTGGTCAGACTATCTCCATCCGTCGAGACGTTTAATTATGTTTTGTACGGATAAACACGCAACTTATGGCTGTCACAGCCAAAAGTATCATTTTTCCCACCGGTCAGTCATGGTCACGTCCAGTTGCAGCTGAATGTACTCGTCATCCTCCTCGTCCGAGGATTCAAGTAATGACGAAGAGTACTGTATATGCAAGTTAGTTACAATAAGTCAAAGTGAGTGCGATCTGTAATTCAAATCGTGGTCACTTTAATTTCTATAACTGGCCAGCACTGCTCACCACCCTCGATGCGACATGTCGGCACTGAACGGGTTCACGTACCAAACCCTCCTGGAGATCACCGCTTCCAAAGATGCTAGTACGTTGTGGTGTCGTCAACTTGGCCTTCTAGAGGGGTCAATGGCGTGCCCTACCTGTGGGAAACACATGTTGCTGTCGAAGACGAAGACCGGTTGGCGTTAGGGGTGCCAGAAGAAGCCCCACGCCGACCGTCGACCATTCCGCCGACAAGAGTATCCGCACTGGCTCGTTATTTGCCTAGTTCAAGTTGCCACTGACGACGCTGTTGCGTCTATTGTACGAGTGGACTGTGGGCTTCGCACAAGCCATCGAAGACTGTCATGGATGACGAAGGAGTGTCGACGGACACCGTGTGCAATTGTTACAACTATTGCCGCGATTTTGCTCGACCGAAATGCTTGCAAGCGAAATGAAGGTAAACTACTACAATTATATATTCATCTCAATTGCTTACAATTATATATTCATCTAAATTTGTTTATTTTTGGCTTTGGATTGGCGGCGAAGGCCACGTCATCGTAATCGACGAGACGTCGTTGAAAAAGAAGTCAAACTACGGGTTCACCAAGGCCATTGGCTCTTTGGCGGTGTCGATAGGGCAACCAAGCGGTAGTTTGGCATATTGGTCGTCGAGGACTGCACGAAACCGACGCTCTTGGCAAGAAACACGTACGGCCCGGAAGTCTGGTTATGTCGGACAAGTTTGGGTCGTACGTTTCTACGAACGAAGCCTCTCACTAAAACACCCTGGCGCGACCTTCATGACATGAAATGTGGACACCAGTGGGTGAATCACACTGACAACTTCGTTGACTCCGCCACTGGTGCACACACCCAATGCATCGAAAGTCTGTGAGAAACGTGGGAAAATCAAGTCATGAGACATATTAAGACCATGAGGGGTATGATGTGAGAGATCTTTTACCTCGAATGTCTGTCCTGGGAAAAACCGAACATAAGGCCCATCGAAGTTATCATATAGTTTTATCCAATCAAATTTGAATGTGAACATACTTCAGTTTGATTGGCGGAAATTTAATACTTCCCGCCCGCGCCTCCTTCAAATTAAATTCCAACACATACATCCAAATATGTGTCGCCTTCGTATCCAATTTCAACCAAGCTCGATGCGCTTGTTCTACTTCAGACCGCAAACAACCGCTATGTATCCAAGGCTCTCGGAATCTCTCGATGAACCCTTCGTAACTGGACAGACCAACACTTCCAACTGATGTCGTACGACGGCAACGAGAAGAACACAAAGTTGGAGCATGGAGGTCGTTATGAGTCATTCCCAGATCCACCAGGACTGGTCTAATTCATCAACCGTGTCCGCGACAGCGAGCGAGAAATCACGGTCACCTCCTCCGTGAGCTTGGGTCCCGCTGGCATGCACTGATGATGTTTACGCCCAACAGGAACCATGAAAATGTTCGTCATTTGCCTCGATATGTTACGGTACGGAGAAATCCACAACATGTTCTAATTCATACGTGCACTGGTGCGAGGGCACATTGTGCCAATAGCTGCGAGACTTTCAAGAGCGCATGGTAACTGAAAGTTCGTGGGGAAGGTCATTTTACAAGTTCAGAGAATATACTGTAACGTTACTATAGTCATATACTTCCTCTGTCCCACATTAATATGCCTTACGAGTTGTCATCAACCCCGGAAATTAATGTGTTAACCAAATTCGATGCATGATATCATTTTAAAAAGACAATAAAAAACTACAGGTACCATGCATTGGATGTTAATCGCCGAAGCAACTTCTTCGCGCCCAGAATGAACATCGAATTTCCACCAACCGAATAAAATTACACCGCATATTCAAACCAACACACTTTTGAATTTGCCGCCATGGTCAAGCCCCCCGCACGCGTAAGGACGTCTCCAGCAGCAAGAAGGCTGAAGTAATCCAACAACTTCATCACTTTCTTGTGAATGGCAAGTTAGTCCGTGGCGCATTCACAAGAACTGTTGAAATGCTCGACATCGAACGCCGCAGTGTTGCCTATATCTGGGACGTCAGGGTACCTACGGTACCCTGACGTCCAACAAGTGCGCCAAGGTTTGTCCGAAGCCCAAGTACTCCCCCGACGACATCCGGATCCTCGTACGTGATGTTCCCATGGACCAGCGATCGACCACGAGAGACATCTCCGCTGCCATTGGTCTCTCCATGGGTACACTCAGCCGCCACCTGAAGATGGGAATCTTCGTTCGTCGGTCGACTCGAATCAAGCCGCTCATCACGGAAGCCAACAAGGCAGAACGCACTGGATTTTGAATTTGAGAGCCTATGGGATGTGGTCTATTTGGACGAAAAGTGGTTCAATGCTGACAAAAATCGCCGCAAGGTGTACCTGGTTCCCGGCGAGACCCCTCCGCAGCGGACGTTGAGGAGCAAGCGCATTATCCCGAAGGTGATGACCACCACGACCACGGGGTGTTGTTTGATGGCAAAGTGGGCGTGTGGCCATTCGTGGAGTCCGTCCCCGCTGTTCGCAACTCACGCAACCGTCCCACCGGTACCATGGCCACGTCCTTGGTCAACGTGAATGCAACTGTGTACCGAGACTACGTCATCAACAAGGTCATACCTGCAATCAAGGCTTCTGATGCAGAATGTGTCTTGCCCTGTGTCCCTTCTTTTGTAGGCTAGGACTTAATGACCAATGAAAATCTTGTATATCCTAATGAGCCAATAAAATCAATTTGTTCACAGTAATGTGGAAAAGTGTGTTTTTCTTTTGGCATATTAATGTGGGACAAAGGAAGTATGTAGTAATGCCGAAATATCGTCAGCCTTGGGGGATTTTCAGCGCTATCATCAGCTCATATTCCACAAGCCGTCGTCGTGGAAATAGGAGCCCAGCTTGGAAAAACGTTGCACCATAACGTTGCGACTAATTCATGTGGATGCGACATGTTATATATATCATTGTGCTTGGATTAGTATTGTCCATGTAATTACTCTATTCTGGCAGCTTGGGCCACCCATCCATTTCTTCAACATCGTCGTCGTCCTTTGCTTGCTGCAGTGTAAAATGGCAAAAAAGCGAGGCGAACTCGTACGGCCCCGCCCGCGACCCGTCGCTAGCATACAGCGGCACCGTGCGGTACCTATTCGCAAACATATATACATAAAAAAATATCTTCTATTCCCATCAATTCCAGTTGCAATATGACGAACCCAGGTCGAATGCACGGAAGTGACAAGGCTGCAAATCCAATCATATCGTCTCGGTCCAAGTCCTTGTCCATCACAGTTAGCACTAGAACATGCAGTTCGGCTTCGACGCCCACCTAGGCAAGGACAATTCATTTTATAAATTGCATCATTATTTCGAATTCTTCGTTTCGCATACAGTATGTCGAGCAACCCCAACACGATCACATCGACGAACTGGGTTTGACGATATATGACATACAACCCATAAACGATGTCCTGCCACACAGAAAATCTTCCAAATAGGCCCAGGTTTCTTTGGGGGTATATTGTACAGTACATCAAATGTCGCTGTGAACCCCCACGTTGGGTTGAGCCCGTTGTTTTGAATAGTCGGCGACTTGCACTGGCTGGACACGCCGTCCCCCACAAAGTCGAGCACCACGTACGGATCGATAATCTCCCCTATACGATTGGCATTTCTTGTCGAATGCATGGACGTCCAAGGCCTAACCTTTCTTGTCCCCGTGGGGTTTGGGCAAGTGTTGGCCACTGCACACGGTCACCGTGATCGCTTGAATGGCTCGGGTAAATGTCCCCAACTGGCTCAGCAACGACGGCGGCTTTAATACGTAGCCGCACTGTCCATTCTGACGGAATAGGCCATGGTTGACATGCATTGGCAACTAAGAATACAAAACAAATAAAATATTTTATAAAATTTTAATAATTTATTTTTAAGCCAACCGTAACTCCCAGACCCAGCCAACCGTAACTCCCAGGCCCAAAGGCATACCACGAGATAGGACAAATCCAATGGCCACAACACATGGTTGGTTGTGATGAAAGAGAAGAATGTGTTGCCCAAATCAAAGCCAATGTGAAATAAATACGATCTTTTTTTGGAAACCCATATCACGCAATACGAAGGACTTGTAGAATTTCAAGAAACAACTCAACACATACGTCGGCCGTTTGGTAGTTTAACGCGACCAACTGCGACCCGGTACCCCACCCCATAACAGGATTGTAGTTTGAAGAGTCGACGCGAAGGCCAGACGGATACACTCTCGACAAATGTGTGCGATTATACGCCGCAAACGCCAGCTTGCGATCTGCCGCCAGCTTCTTGGTCTTGCCTACCATATTGATCCTGATGAACTTCTGTCATGTATAGCAGCAATGCCATGGGACAGTGCATATATATATATATATTGTATATGTACGCATTGATCCATGACAAAGGATACATATATTGTCGTTTCGAGCGAAATTTGGTGTTTGAGGTCGACAGAAACTAACATAAGTGTAGAAGCTAGTATTGTATACAAATTCCAACTATTGTGGCCATTAAGACTCATTGCAGTGCTGAAGAAAATGGATTGGCCATTAGAAAAGTTCTGAGTGTTTTGATTGGTGGATCGGGTGTCGGCCAATATTTGGTGGTTCAGCTCCTTCAATTGAGCCTCCGCCCACCCTCCAAATTCGAATCGAATGGACAATATAAACATATATATATATTACAGTTCACAGGATATTATCTCACTAAAATACGAGCACATGCTCTCATAGGTTATGTATATTGTACCTTCAGAAAACGAAGACATTTGATTGCATGGCCATGTGGCAGCCACGTCAAAGTTGCGGAAATGTACGCCTTGGAACAAGCACAGTCTGGCCAGTGCCGGGGACACTTTGGATTTTTTAGACGACCGGCGACGAGTACCAGTAGGAGGAGGTTGTTTCTTAGTCTTGGTTGAGATCTTGTGCAACACCACGTCGGCACTGTCGTCGTCATCGTCATCCATGTCCGAGTACTCGCCAGTCGTGGTGTCGTCGGCCTGGCCTTGCTTCCCCTTAAGCAGAATTTTGTACTGCAAGGCATGGGGCGAAGGTAGAACACTGCCGTCGTTCGTTAGGTCCTATATAACGTTGCAGTATGTATTTGGTATACCAATACCTTTGTCGAAAAGTGAATAATATATATATATATATTATATGTGTATAGGGGCCACTCACGTCAATATAAAGGCGATCACCAAACGTCTGGGTCATGAGGTCGGCCATGACAATTTGTTGGGCGTCGCTGCAATGGTTTTCGAGCGACAGAATCACCGGAAATGGCGACGATTCAAACGCGTGCACATGGATCCCCTATTCCAACGAGATTCAATAAATATATATTTGTATTGAAATGTTTGGTAATGTATATATTGTAAGGTTGGTAATATATATTTATATTGCAAGGTTGGATATATATATATGTATTGTAAGGTTCGTAATATATATATATTGTAAGGTTGGTAATATATATATATTGTAAGGTTGGTAATATATATATATTGTAAGGTTGGTAATATATATATTGAAAGGTTGGTAAAATATATATATATCGAAAGGTTGATAATATATATCGAAATGCTTGGTAATAACGTACCCAAATGACGTCGGCAAATAAAATCTTGGTCGTCAGAGTGTGCCCGTGATACACTACGGGTTGTCCGTCGTCGCCATCCCAGCAATCTGCCGGCAATGGGCTGTAAGCAAACATATATATATATAGATGTAATATTGTGGGTACTAGATTGCTGGTATTGAGGTAGTTCATGATTTACGATGTAGTAAATGCACAAGTTTGCAGACTTGATTACCAATTTCAACACAACGGCAATTGCGTAGGAGGGCCGAAATGTACATGTAGACGGACGAATGGCTTTGCAATTGATCGCCTAGAATACATATCTTAAGTCGATAATATCAGCACGTATTCGAAATGTATATAGGCAATATATGTTACCTTCCAGATACGTGTTATGGGACGACGCGATAAAGTACTGACTCAACGGCAACGTCATATCGTGGTGCAATGTCATACTATGGGGATTGGCCCAGTCGTTCCACGTGCTGTTAATGTACTGTCGAAACCTACTCCCAAAGTCAATGTTATTACTACTACAGCTATATATATATATAGGTTAGTTTACTCATTTTTGGTTTACTAGTACAATGTTCACATGAAAGGATAAGAAGTACAAGGTGTTACTCAGCAACTGTAAACGATGAATCGCTTGTACCCTGGAGTAGTATACAATACAATTACAACCACACACAATACAGCACATACTGTAGTCGCGAGCACATGTCCTCTGTAGTAAAAAGGGTCAGAATTGACTGGATGTCGTCGGTTGTGTGGCCGTTTGTGATAAGAAACGCTTCAAAAGCCGAAGAGGTCATGTATTGCTGGCTTTTGACCTAAGAAATATATTATCCATATGACCAGCGAAATAAGAATTCGACCAATAGAAATATATTATTCATATGCAAAAGTAGAATTCTCTGTGTGTTCAAGATTAATAAAACGAACCGAGGGCTGGAACAAGGCATCGAGTTCAGGTCGATGGCGTAATTGTGTCATAAGCGCGCAATATTCGTTGAAATCCAATTCACCATCGCCATCGAGGTCGACTTGGGTAAACATCCGTCGCAGTTCTCCTTTGGCTAGGGAAATATTAATCATAAAATATATTGAATATTTACGTCAGAAGAATATTCCAATACCACTTGTGGCGTGGTTGAGGCTACGCGTAACCTTCTCCACCTCCGACCGACTCAACATCCCGTCTTGGTTGGAGTCTGCATGGATCCAAATTTGATACAAAAACGCCGTCTCCGGGTCAGCTGATCTTGTCGCTCGCAGCCGGTCCATCAACGACCGTAGGCCCTAACATCATCAAAATATATTATACACATCATTGACCAAGATCAACGCATACGATTCATTCACTCATGTAGATATAAGCTAACTGAATAGAATGATATACATATATTTTGATATGCATGGATGGATTCAACTTCAATGCACCTGGAACCGAAAAAATATATCTTTATTCGATTGCAGGTGGAGATAGAACCCAAATATCCAAGGGTTGACTGGCGTACATGGCATTGTCAACGGTAACCTTCAATAGGAGCGCAAAGAGAATATATCTAAATATAACATCAGAAAATTCCAAGGTAAAGTCAAATGCAAAGTTTGCCCTGTGCCGCTCAAAGGCATTACGGGTATGTGTGAGATCTGTGCATGTCGATTCAATCTCAAACTTGAATACGACTGAAAAGGGAATCCATGTGTATATTTATTTATCTGCAAAAGGAAGCATGCCTATTTTTCTTTAAATATATCATCAATATAAAGTAATATAAAATATTTTCTGTGGTTGCATATGTATATATACATTCAGTTCCAGATCAACATGCAAATTGATGCATCCATAGACCACATAATTGTCCCATAGTAGATACTGCTTACATGAAACCAGCGGTCGTATTGGGCCGCAGACGTGCATACAATGTCGATGGTCTTCCCAAACGCCAAAATAATCGAAAAGCACAGTGCGTGAGTTTGCCTTGTCTTGGCGTCCAGTCGATGGAACTTCGAGGTCGTAACCCCCGGTTGCAACCGGCAGATCGATGCAATGTCCACTATATATCATTGTTTACATGAATATATACGGTACAGTTAGACTAATCAAAGCCTGCTGGCAATATTGTATATATATATCAATATTGTATATATATATATATATATCATTCTGGGACGTCAATCTAGTTGTCACTTTTGGGGCGTACAGGTAGACGGCGTGCGGGAAAATTTGTCGGTGAGCTTGGCCAGTTTACCCGTGCTTTCCCACCGTAAACAAAACAAATCGGGGGTGATACTGTACTTGCAACCCACGAGTTTTGGACCGCGCGAGCACTTTTTGAGCACTTCCCCTGCATATTCACACGCCCCATAGTGTCAACACATCAAGAAATCCTGAGAAGGTTTGGACTATGGTTACCTAGCAACAAGGGCTCGTCTGTTGGATGTTGCACGACACACTTGATTTTGCGCGACTTGTCCTTGTACAAACGGCCCTTTCCGCCTTGGATGATCATGGGGGCTGGGATGGCGTCCACTTGTGTCTTGTCGTGGACTGTCGCCATATTGCTGTCGTCGTGAGTACCCCCACCACACTCTACCGTGGACGAGTCGCTTTGAAACCGCCACGGTTGTATTTTGTAACTGCTACTGGTATACTACAACAAAGGCCGTGGATAGTGCAGTTGTGGCAGTTACTAATACAGGCAACAGAACTAAACAGTATACTTCGAAGTACTACGTTTCAACCACGACAAGGGTGTGCCCTGATTTGGCGAGATCTAAAGCTGTAGATTTACGGTTGCCAGCTTCAATCTCGCGCATTCCCATTCCGATACACAGCCATCTCATGACTCAAATTATGGAGGGAATGATCGATCTAAATATTACTTTTCGCTATTTTACATCAACCATGTGTCACCGCGACGACGATGCTGACGAGCGTGGTCACCAGGGACCACACGATCGTTGTCGGTAACGACGACAATGCTTCGCATCGTACGGGGGGGGGCTGTAACTGTGAGGTTGGTGGCGGTGTCGCTGAGCTCCACCACACACGCGCCTTCACTGCCTTGAGTCAACCCTGGTGTGCCGCACTCTGCGTTGGACAACTCGCTCTCGTTGGGGTACGTGGCACGGTCTGAGCCACACATTGGCCAACCAACCTCAGGACACATGCGGGTTTTACATCAAGTGAACTCCTAGTACATGATGGGGTTTCCACGCGCTGGTTGCGACCTCGATTCCACGGTACAACAGATTGATCATTTCCCAAACATTTGGGTCATTTTTGGAAATAGTAGTTTTGTGCGACAAAATTCCACCAAAACGATGGCATAAAAGGCGACTCCCAATTCGCTGACATATGTTGGACACGCCGAGGTACACCCATACTGTAATCTGATAACGTTATTACCAGTATGTGGACATGACTTTGGCGACACGAATAGGTTCGACAGACCGAGCAGTCGACAAAAACTTGATCAACAAGTAAGGCTGAAAATGTGTTGCGCTGAACGGTTTAAGTGATCTCCTAGTTGCGGTTGGTACTGATTGTGTGTTTTGCGACATATGTATACCTCCCAGAAAAAAAGCTTGGGTAAGTGGGTGCAATTGCGTACTAGTTCCTTCTATGACATCCTGAGGATGTAACTACGTAGGTTTCTGTTTACACTCGTGTGCCATTGGACAACTCATTGTCACAAGTCTCATGTATCCGGGGTTGGCTATCATGTACTTGTATTAACATATGTAACGTTACTTTAGTACTACTACACATAGCTGTTGACGGTGCAGATTCGACCGCCGCCGTGCCGCACACAAAGCCCCCGCGCATGGGCTTGCTTCTTGCATCCGCTTTCCTCGCAAGACCGCTTGGATACAGCCCCACTGTGCTGGCCGCAAAAGGTGCCTCCATAAGCGTTGGCCTGACACAGCGAGCCAACGTTATAGATTCATCGTGGATATCGCGATGAGGAACGTGACGGGTGCAACAATTGTTGCTAATACCGACGGGGAAAGTGTTCCAGCAGCAGACGATGTGACGGTCGTGACAGGGGGCAGGGGGCCAGGCATGACGGTCGTCGTCCAAGTACTGAGGGGGGTAGTTGACGTGACGTTGGGGGACTTGGTTGTGTTGTGGGTAGAACACTCGCCGTCTGCGACTTTGACCAGACCAGGGGCAAGGCAGGCTGCATAGTTTAATTCGCAGTCGTTTCCGTAGGTTTTCATGTTGGACCCACACACTGGATCGTACACATCAAGGCAAGCAAACATACACGGCCTGTTGCATTCGCCGTCGCCGCTCCATCGGACAAGGGGGTCTTTGCACGTGGCAACATCCAGCAAACATTGGTTGCCGTAAGTGACATTGTTGCTGCCGCATTGCGGGGCTACCTCTTTCGTGCACACTGTGTCGCACGTCAATTCAACGGGGCATTCACCGATGCTGGCAACGGTGATATTTTGTTTGGCGGCGCACGCGTCGACCTTCAACAGGCAGCTGTTAGCGTACGTTTGGTTATTCGAGCCACACACTGGATGGTAATATTCGATGCAAGCGATCTCGCATTCCGCAGAGGCGGTGGCGATGGCGATGGCAAAGTACTGGAGTCGCATTTGACGTGCGACCAAGCAAATGGGGAAATGAAGTCGTATGGGTCGTATAATGGCCGTGGTGGGTCAATAATTGTCTCAACGCGAGTTGAATTAACATGAGACCGTATTTTGTTACTCAAGCTCGAAATCAAATTTACCGGTACTACACTGCTGTTCATGATGGACTGGATTGATTGAAAAATTGGAACGAAGTGAAATCCACGGGGGGGGGCCGTTGGACAGTGAGAAGCGGACAATAGTATATATTAGTACTACCTCCACTGTAGAAGGCTGGGCTGTACACTAACGTTATACTATATTCTTGGCTACACGTGGAGTATACTGTATTTCCTGCCTGCACAATTGTTGCTGTCATTTGAACAACGAACTCTACAGTACCACGTTCCTTTGAAGGGACAGTTCTGACTGCAGTACTGTTCCTATATGTACTGTACGTGTACATGTAGTACTCCGGAGTATTCACACTTTGCGTCGATAGTTCGATACCGGTATCATTATTCTGACTTTAAGAAGGACGAGCAGACAGATTCCTTCATACTAGTACTACGTAGTACTACTAGTACATGTATACTATTAATAGTGAAGCCACGCACTGACTGAGTCTTGAGCGTCGCGTCTGGTATATTAGCTGGAGTTTCATTCTGGAGGACTTATCCAAGGACTACAAATAATTTGCTCCACAGTGTTTTTGTCTTAAACAATATTTGTCGACGTTTTCGATGCAATTGACGTCGGCCAAGAGGGATAAAAAGGATTTCAAAATCGATTGTTCCAGTTAATAGCCTACAATCAAGCCAAGCACGACGTACAAGGCGGCCGTAAAAGCAGACGTGGCCATCGCAGTGGCACTCGACGGGACGGTGGTGACTGGCGGCGACGACGACGAGGATGTCGAGGATGGACTGGGGGTGACAATCGAAGGAGAAGTGCTGGTGGGGATCTTGGTCGTATTCAACGACACTGGGCACTCCCCGTCCGACACTTTGACCAAGCCAGACGTACTATCTTGGCACATTGCGTTTTTCAGTTCGCAGTCGTTGCCATAGGTTTTACCGTCCGACCCACACACGGGTTGGTACTCTTTGGTGCAGACGGCATCGCAGCTTTTGGTGCATACCCCAGCGGAGATCCACTTGACGAGCCCGTCATTGCACTGCGCGACCTTCAAACTGCACTTGTTGCCATATGTGACGCCGTTGCTTCCACACTGCGGTTCGAACTCCATCGTGCATATGGAATCGCAAACACAAGCGCCTGGGCGTGCGATCGTGATGTTTTCTTTCGTCGTACACGCGTCGACCTGCAAGAGGCACGCGTTCGAATACGTTTTGTTGTTGGAGCCACACACAGGGTCGACAACTGTGATGCAGTTGAGTTCGCATTGGGCGGTGGTGGTGGTGGTCGACGCGGCCAGCAGGACTGCGACGATGGTGGACGTCAAGTGCATTATTGTTAGGGATCGAGGAAATTGATCAATGATGCCAAGACTCAATCGTCGTTCAGATGCCCGCCAGCCTGTCTGCTAACGTTTGACTCAGGTTCTCTTTTTTGTGTCCATGGACAAAACACGATTTGATTGGCTGGCCCTTGACACGGATGCTGGAATACGTCATTTCAACATGGGGGGTTTGGTGAATCATGCATGCCGAAGTACAGTTTTTGCTTCGTGCATTTCGAGAATTCGCGCAAAACGTTGGACTCTGCGATGGTTGCGAGGTGCAAAGTGGACAGGTACTGTATGTACAGTACAAGGTGATTTCAAATTTTGGGTGGATGGATATACTAGTACAGTACCCATGCAAATTGATAGGCGAGTCATCGCCACAATCCCTAGTACAGTATACGCGACAATCTTAACAAGGTCGTTTACTATTCTCGAAGGCAACGAACGACAACCATTCAAACCGATAAACGAGAATCGCATTTGCCAACAGGCAAGCCTAATATATCCCTTGACCTCGTTCATGTTATAGATACCGTTGAAACGGACGCTCAATCGAACAGTCTTTGTCATTAACTAGTTACTACTAAAGTACGACGTAGTAGTAGTATACCGAATATGCGATAGAATGTACGTTTACGTTAATCGTCTCATTGGTTGGTTCTCTCTCAAGGCGCCACGAGTAGGAGTCCCACGCACACGAGAGTGGCGACAGCAGACGAGGCCACGGTCGTCATGGTGCCAGATTTGACGGTGGTGGCGATAGGCGACGGCGTCACTATACTAGTAGTAGTGGAGTTGGGCTTCACCGTCGAGTTAGTGGACGATGGCGGCGGCGAGCATTCTCCATTAAACACCGAGAACAGACTGGACGACGTGCTGTTGATATTGCACGCAGCATTGTTGAGCTCGCATCGGTTGGCGTACGTAATCCCGTTCGAACCGCACAACGGCTGGTACTCCTTTGTGCAAGCGATATTGCAAGCGGTGCACACAGTGCGACGGAGCAACTTGATCGTGCCGTCTAGGCACTGCGCCAACTTGAGTTCGCAGTCGTTGCCATACGTGACGTTGTTACTCGCGCAGCGGGCAGAGTACTCTGCCGTGCAGATCGGACTGCACTCGCACTTGCCTGGACGCGCCACCGCGATAGTTTCGTTGGTCAAGCACGCGTCGACCTTCAAGATGCAGCTGTTGCCGTACGTTTTGTTGTTGGTGCCACACACGGGCGCGTACTCTAAGAGACAGTTGACGTTGCATTGCGCCGAAGTGGCGAGTGCAAGCATGCTCCAAGCGATGATGACGACGGCGACGGATACGAATGTCTTCATGGGGTCAAAACGGAGGCAAATGGAAAGTGTTTAGTCATATTAACGTTCGTTGCGGCCAAGAGTGTTGCCTTTGCGACCGTACCCACGTACTGCGATCCAGCAAGGATCATCATGGTTGTCATGATTGATTGGGTAAATCCGTATAGTGTATTTCGAGTCAGACATCTCATTTGGAGTCAGAATCCTGTAACGTTATACTAAGGTAATCCATCAATATCGCGAACGCATTTTGTGCACTAAAATATCAAATGTTTGAAGCACTCCACCACAAAAAGTCCCTCGAATAAAAAAAAACTAAAGGTAGCGTTGGAAAATATAAATCCAGCTGCATTTTTTAGTGCTAAGAAGTGCCTGAAATATCCCAATAATCGATTTGTATTTTCAAATTATAACGTAACGTTAAGAATTGGTGAAACTTTTTTGGCTTTGTATTTCGCGAACGGTCGTAA